CCCAAGAAACTTTGGGTTCCTAAATCTGTCTAATTTTTGCAGGTTATAAGTGACGAGCAGTTCGACGAAGAATGGTACATCGATAGTGGCTGCTCACGTCACATGACAGGGAGGAAAGAGGAGCTTAGGGAATACAGATCTCTTGCAAATGGTGGCAACGTCAAGTTTGGAAATAATTCTTTCGGCACCATAAAGGGATACGGGATGATAACAAATGGGGACTTTACTATAAGGAAGGTGGCTTATGTGGAAGGACTCCAACACAACCTCATTAGTGTATCTCAGCTTGTTGGAGGTACAGGTCTCAAAGTCTCGTTCGATGATGAAGGTTCTGAAATCATAGAGAAAAAGTCAAAGAAAGTGATTCTCAAGTCAGAGCGAAAGGGTGAAATGTTTCCCTTAAACCTTAAACCCATCAAAGGAAACCCAGCTATATGCTTGTTGTCAAAAGCTCAATCCGACGAAAGCTGGTTGTGGCACCGAAGATTATCTCATCTCAATTTTAAAGATATCAACCGACTTGTCACTGGAGGTCATGTTAGGGGTCTTCCATTGCTCAAGTTCGACAGAGATCATTTGTGTGCTGCATGCGAAATGGGGAAGCAGAGTCGTCAAAGTCACCCATCTATAATCAACACAAAAGTTGTTGAACCACTCGAATTACTTCATATCGATTTGTGTGGTCCTTCATCTATCGAAAGCATCGGTGGTAGCAAGTATATTCTTGTTATGTTGATGACTTTTCACGATTTACATGGGTGTTCTTTCTAAAGCTCAAATCTGAAGCGACTCAAAAGCTGAAAGTGTTTATCAAGCAAATTGAAGTACAGCTCAAGAAGGTTGTTCGCAACATCAGAAGCGACAATGGTCTCGAATTCAAGAACAGGGAGTTTGAAGAGTTTCTTGCAGAAAAGGGAATTAGTCACAATTTCTCAGCTCCCTACACACCGCAACAGAACGGAATAGTCGAAAGACGAAACCGATCTTTGTGTGAAGCTGCCCGAACTATGCTAAGTTTCGCTTCCTTACCTCTTTATTTTTGGGCTGACGCTATTTCGGCTGCTTGTTTTACACAGAACAGGTCCTATCTCAACAAGAGGTTCCACTCACTCCATATGAGATACTGAACAACAGAAAGCCAAATGTGAAATTTTTCCATGTGTTCGGCTCAAGGTGTTTCATCTTTAATTCTAAAGAACACCGCAACAAGTTTGATGTCAAAGCCGACGAGGGAATATTTCTGGGTTACTCGCTCACATCCAAGGCATACAGGGTCCTAAACAAGCGTTCGAGAAAGATTGAAGAGACATACTATGTGACCTTTGACGACAACTATGTCAAGAAGCTACAGGCTAAAGAAGACACGCTGGGGAAATCTTTCCTCTAACTGGCCAGGTCAGTCTCGGTCGCCAACTTATTCGAGACATTTCTGGAGCTCTTTGACGAACCGGAGAACGCTTCACTCTCCGAAGCAGGTGCAGCAGACAACAAAGTTGATCACATGAAGCAGATTGTCGAAGATGCTGCAAGAAGAATGCATGAAGAAATATCACCTCTAACGACTCTCCTTCCAACAACGCTCAAGTCGAGGGGAGCCAAGCTCAAGTCAAGCTCACAAGTCGAGGGGGAGCCAAGCTCACAAGTCCAGGGGGAGCCAAATTCTACAACTTCAACCGAAGGTCCTTCATCAACCGAAGAGGCCTCAACACCAGGAAGCTCAGAACCACAAGAAACACCTGAACCTCATGTCTTTCAAAGCTCATCAATGAGGGGGAACATAATGATATGACACTCGGTTACGATAGCCAATCTGAGCCAGACGAAATAATTAATGCTGAACTAGACCAACCTTTGATCCGAATTACCCTCCTCTTATCAAATGGACCAGAGATCATCCTGTCTCTCAAGTAGTTGGCGATGTTTCTGAAAAGGTTTGACCCGATCACAACTGAAGGCAAAACAGACTTCCTTATTTTCAAAGGTTGAGTTTTGCATGTTTAACTCATTCGTATCAAAAGTTGAACCAAAGACAGTTAATACTGCCCTAGATCACTCTGATTGGGTTCAAGCAATGCAAGACGAGCTGAACGAATTTGAAAGGAACAAAGTCTGGCGCCTCATTCCAACTCCTCCAGATGCTTCGGTTGTTGGTCTCAAATGGGTTTTTAGGAACAAAATGGACAAGGAAGGTAATGTTATAAGGAACAAGGCTCGTCTGGTGGTAAAGGGATACTGTCAGGAGGAAGGGATAGACTATGAAGAGACTTTCGCTCCAGTAGCTAGGCTAGAATCTGTTAGAATATTTCTGGCTTATGCTGCTCACAAGAACTTTGAGGTTTTCCAAATGGACGTCAAGTGTGCATTTCTCAATGGAGAACTCGAAGAAACTGTGTACGTGGAGCAACCTCCTGGGTTCGTGAACGAAAAGCATCCAAATCATTGCTATATTTGGATAAAGCTGTGTACGGCCTCAAGCAAGCTCCGAGGGCCTGGTATGAAACGCTTACAAAATTTTTAAAGATGTCTAAATTCAAACAAGGTTCGGTTGACCCAACCTTCTTTCGCAAAAAGGAAGGTAACCACCTTATGATAGTTCAAATTTATGTCGATGACATCATCTTTGGCTCCACGAATCCCAGCTTAACAGCTGAATTCAGAAAGCTGATGGAGACTAAGTTTGAAATGAGCTCAATGGGTCCTATTAACTTTTTCCTTGGTTTAAACATAAGACAGGGACCCGAAGGCATCTTTATTAATCAGGAAGCTTACACGAAGACTCTCCTAGCAAAGTTTGGTATGATGGGAGACACAAAAGTCAAAGTCCCAATGGCATTCGGCACCAAGCTTACCCCATCCCTAGACAAACCGGCTGTCGATATCACGCTCTATCGTCAAATGATTGGCTCACTGATGTATCTAACTGCTAGCAGACCTGATATCATGTTTTCTGTGTGTTATTGTGCTCGATTTCAGGCAAACCCACGCGAACCTCACATGCTTGCAGTGAAGAACATCTTACGAT